AAAATGTATCATGAAATGGCTTTATCCATAACCCACAAAACAAGTCAGGATGCCAAGGGCCAAGGCCTGACCACAATGCCAGGAGGGCCGGACTAGTAATCGCTCATTGTCTTACCCTTTCGGCCTCATTAGCTTGATGTCTTGCATATGAGTGGATTGGAATTCCTTTAATTTTAATAAATTAAATGGATTCAAAAAGCAAAATTGTGTATAACGTGAAATGCCCAAAAGAATCTTCAATTTGAGTACTTAACTCCTTGAGCTGCAAAAAGCTTTTTAAAATATGCTTATAAAAATGTTTTTAAAAGTTAATAACTAGTAACAATTTATATAATTTATTGAAATATCAAAGGGCTTTTCGTCCAACAATATCAGATGTTGATGTCTCCCATTTCCCGTCTATATTTTACAAGTAATCACATATTTTCATCAAAGGGTTGTTTAGACCTTTGCCTTCGATTGATTTTGATTACGTTTCTCATTATTTAAAATATCATATTCCGAAAAACATATAAATAGTAATAGTAAGATAACTGACAACTATTTAATTTTTCTTTATTTTCTTAATTTGTTAATTTTATCTAATGTGACTGTGTTATATTTATAAGTCCACTGAAGGCCCAAATTACGAATGGATTAGCCCATTTTGAGTTTAAATTTAAATATTCTTTTTCCTTGCAATTGGTGGTTTCTTTTTTCAATATTACCTCCAAAAACTAGTGGATTGAATCTTAGTTGATTACCATTCAACATATATTTAGTAATTAATTATATAATAATACATGAAGATGAAATTTAAGCTAAAGATCAATAAATAAACCCAAGTCAATATCTCCACCTCATTTTATAATCATTACCAAAAATATCCAACAAAATATCCTCCATGAAAAACCCTATTTTGTTGGAAAACCCCCCAAGAAACTTTTATCCTATCTTGCTAGAAATTTGTTTTTGTACAATCTCTAGCAAATGTGTCAAAATCTACTACTATCAATATCATTTGTACATGTACCCAATTTTTTATTATTTTTTATTTGGGCATATCCGAAACCCTAATATGTAGTCCATTTGGGGCTTCAACTCTTGGAAATTTCATGAGTTTGTCTCCTCCCACTTCTACCCATCTGCATTTATTTAAAATTAAAATAAATTAATTTTTTCAAATTAAAATATAAATAAATACTTGTTAATGTTTCGAAAAATACCTGTATTTAGTTACAAAGTAATGAAGAAAAGTGGAGATTTCCGCTATGCCAAGTTCTTTTCCAGGACATTGTCGTGTCCCCCCTCCAAAGAGGAAGAAATAATTTTGTGTTTCCAAGCTTCGATCCTACATTTCATGACATGAAAATTTAAATAATCTATTTTTTTTCTATATATATATATATATATATATATATATATATATATATATATATATATATATTAGAGTATAACAATTTATATAAAAATCCAGTAACATAAAACATACCAGCCATCTCCATGGGTTGAAAGTATACGGATCCGGATATAGACACGGGTCATAATTAATCTCTCTTGTATATACATATATTCTCCATCCTTCGGGAATCACAAACCCTGAAAATATAAAATTACAGTTTTAAAATTCGAAATAAATTATCCGACTAAATATGTTAAACTATTTAGAGCATTTTGTAACGTTTTTTAAAGTCTAGAGTATGAATCTTATGATTATATGTGTTCCACTTTATAATGAAATATATAAAAGATGATTAAAAAAACATAAAGATGATGATAATTGACTTAAAAATATGAGATGGGTCATGGATCAATAATCCAAGCTGGAAGGGTTGGTATGCCATGTGGATTATGATGTCGTAGGGTCAATGGTAAGATAATGACACCATTTACAGCATATCCAGCCCCCAAAGACCCCCCCTTAAAAAAGCTTTTAAAATTATATTATTTTTATTTAAAATTATCGTATGCGATTTTGGCCCTATAATATTAATATATTATACATGTAGTATTTAAAATACTATTCGATGAAACACAAAAATAAAATAATGTATAAATCGAATTTAAAGATTGAGAAAAGCAATTAAATATTACAATTTGGTATGATTTAAGAGCATTATTATTACTATATTTTTAAATATAATGGGTGATCATTATATTTATATAATGGGGGATTAGTGAGCATCATTGGTTAGATTTAGTATAAAATAATAACTGATTCTCTTTCATAGAACAAAAAGAATGTATAAAAATAATTAAAGAAACAACAATATATATTTCATGGAACAAAAAGAATATTTAAAAAATAGTTTTTCTTATAAAGAATCTTTTCCAAATTTGCATTTTTTTTTAAATGATTCTACCATTATTATTCAACCATAAATGATTATTACTTTAAGTTATTATAATATTTTCATTTGTAACTTTTTTTTTAAAATAATAAATAATAACATTTTTTCTTTAATATTTATAAAAATAATAACTAAAAAAACACTCACCATTGAGTTCCATTTCCTTTGTAGTCTTTCTCAAAACTCCATTAACAATGGTTGCCAATCTGGAGGTCTCAAATATCACCTGCACCACCACCACACATGATAAGTTTAATTAATCAAAAACAATTTAAAATTAAAATATAAATAATTAAAAACATTCCAAAAACAAAATCTTACATTAATTCTTTCAAATGTAATAATAAAATAAATCTATTAAAAATCAAAACCTACCGCACGAGTGAACTTCATGGACTTGTAGTCATTCCAGTTAAGTGGGTCCTCTGCCATTTTTCTCTCTCTGATTCCCAAATGTTCTTTCTACAAAATTCATTAATTTTTTTTATAAAAATAAATTTAAAAGAACTAATTCCAAGAAGAAATTTAAAAAAAAAAAAAAAAAATTAAAAATCAAAAACTCACTCTAAGTTCTTCAAGAACTCTTGGATGATCATGAAGATACTTCACAGCCATCATTGAAGTAGTCGAAACTGTCTCATACCCAGAATACAAAATCGTAATTATCTGATCAATCATCTCTTCATCGCTCAATTTATATCTGTTTTCCACACCACTCATCAACAAACCAAGCATATCTTTATGGGTTTCTTGAGAACGTCTTCTTTCATCAATCAATTCCTCCAACATTCTCACAATGTTCTTCCTAGCCTGAAATCGCAAACACATTTCAAGATTCAGTACAATTTTCAACTTAAAAACGACAAATTTGAATAACTTTCACTTTTACAGACCTGTAATCCGCGATGATAGTTTGTGTTCGGGAGGTTAATTGGAAGCGAAAGAGTCCCGACAACAAGGTTGAAGAATTCACGCATGAATTCTTTCGATAATAAGGAAGATTCAGTTCCAGAAATTTGTCTGAGTGATGATAAAAGCGCCATCTGTGTAATCAAAATTTGAAAAGATTAATTGAGAAGATGAAGGAAACGAAGAGTTGTAAAGTGAAGTTGAATGAAATTGCAAACCTCTTTGGTCTTTTCTTGAATGTCGATGATTTGATTATTCCAATTAAGAAGATGGGATCTCATGAACTCGTCGATTTTGGAGAGGATTTGTTCTCTGATGATTGAGGGGCTAACAAGTGATAACAATGCACCTCTCATGTTCTTGTGAGCAGAGCCATGAACAGCTGCGATATTCGATTTGCCCAAAATATCGAGCATGGATTGAGGGTATCCTGGAAGGATTCCTTTGCCTTCATTCATGAGAATGAATCTATTAAGTTCTGGGTCCATTGAGACAATTGTAGGGCAACCCAAGATATGAGATTTGAAAACGCTTCCATAACTAAAATCAAGAAACACACAAAAAGTGAAATAACAAAGAAACACCCAGATGAAGATGAAAATGGTGCATTTTTTGAGGTGGGGTTTTTGAAAAAGGTAGCTTTTTGATGTGTCATGGTGAAAATGAGGCGTTTTTGAGGTGGGTTTTTCAAGAAGATCAAGAAAAAGGTTGACTTTTTGTAAACATGTGTGAATCTTGAATCTTGAATCTTGGAACAAACACACTTGGTAATGTATTATATATATAATACCAGTGTCAATATCATCAAGAAAACAAAGTGAAAAATGAAATGATACATTTTTCTGAGTTGGGTTTCTCAAGAAGATGAAGAAAAAGGTTGCTTTTTATGTGATAAAAATGTGAAGAAATGAAAATAAAGAAAAAGAAAAAGAAAGAAACCTTGCTCTCTGGTTTTTCATGAAGCTGGGGCCTTGTTTGAGGAAATCAGTGGTCTCACCAAAAAGTGGCCAACCCATGGTACCAGGGGGTAGGCCTTTCTTCTTGTACTTCATCTCATTCCATCTCAAAAGGAAAGTGCTCAAGAGGCAAAGTCCCAATACAACTCCAATAATAACTGTGAAAATAGCCATGGATGCTCTTTCTCTTTCTTCCAAGCTTCTATAACAGAGAGATAAGAGGAAGAAGAAGAAGATGAAGAAGAAGAAGAAGGAAAGAGGGGGTTGCTGAAGTTTTTTGCTTGTAAAGAATGTGTATATATAGGCCCTTATGGGGTGGGTGGGGTGGAGTGGCGTGGGGGATGGATGGGGGGAGGTGCCATGTGTTGAGTTAAAAGGAGTGACTTTACTATCCCATAACATAACAAGTATAATAGTTATTGACTTATTGTGTATATATTGCATTTAACTAGTTACCATTAATCCTAAATATACATGGAAGATAATCAATACGATTTAATTCAAATGTTTATATGCAATGCGAAATCTTAAAGGAGTTTCTTTAAAAGTAAATATTTATATGGTAAATATATAAAGATATAAATCTTGTTCCATATAGGAGAATTCTAAAAAATCAACTTTAAAAGAAAAGATTATAATGTTTTATAAAACTCTAGGAGAGAAAATCCAATCACATCTAAGACTAAATAAAACAAAATTAGTTATTAAAAAAAGCATCATTCAACTATCTATTCAATTTTCTTATAAAGTTTATCTAAAGCGAGTTCCAAAATCTTCGGATATTAATATTGTACTAGGTGTAAGATCCGTGTAGTATATGAGTTTATTAAAAATATAAAGTTAATATAAATTTGTAAACATTATTTAAAAGTAATATTTTCATATAAATAAAAATGATATAATTATGAATAAAGTAAGTAATTCAATATATACTAATAAAAAATATTAACATAGTTTAAAGAGTTTAGGTCATTTTTGGTTACTTAACTTTTGGTTTTGTACTCATTTGGTCATTTAACTCTTTTTAAGTTTTAAAAGGTCATCAAACTTTTGATTTTGTGCTCATTTAGTCACTTAACTTTTGTTTTGGTCACATTTAGTCACCAAACTTTTAAAACTGTGCTCATTTAGTCACTAAACTTTTAAAATTTTTAAAAATTTTAGTGACTAAATGAGCACAATTTTAAAAGTTAGGTGACTAAATGAGCACAAATCTAAAAGTTAAGTGATTAAATGTGACGAAACCAAAAGTTAAGTGACTAAATGAGCACAAAGTCAAAAGTTTGATGACCTTTTAAAACTTAAAAATAGTTAAGTGACCAAATGAGCAAAAAACCAAAAGTTAAGTGACCAAAAATGACCTAAACCCTACTTTAAAAAATGATGTTGAAAATTTAGGTGTAAATATTAAATATTTTTTTTAATTAAACTTTCAAAATAAATACAAACGAAATGATAATAATTAGATAGTTAAATGTATACTAATAAGAAAAACTATTGACATATTGACATGGTGGACATAACATTGAATTTCTTTTATCTAAATATAATTTTATATGTTTGTGTTTGTCTTTAGAGTCGTTTGAATCCATATTATGTTTTTATCTTTAAAACAATAATAAATCCTAAAATAAAATTATG